CGCCTAAGAAAAGACGATGGTTGTCGAAGAGAATACCTATGGATTTCACCCATGTGAAGTCACGAGTCATGTTTTCATTCCTTTTCCTATGTAGTGTGCGTTGATGTGGAGGTTGGGGTCGCTCACAATCGGCAAAAGTCTATATCTTTCTTGCCATGGAAGTAAAAGATGATGACATCTCCTCCTAAGAAACGAGGGTCTTGACATACTGCTCTTGGATAGTCACAATAATCTACCAAGTAAAAAATACTACCTCCGTTTCTGATAGTTCGACTCATCACTTACTATTCATGGGGTTAAAATAAAATAACTTTGATCACATTTAATGAATTATACAATATAAATAAATTAGCATATGGGATCTTATTAGATTCCACCTTACTATAAAATATTCAAATATCAACTTTTTATAATTTTCACTTGTACATAGCCGAAGATATTCATGGTAAAAAATGTTCATTGTAGACCGCACAAATGTAAAATGAGTTGAACTTTCAGGAATGGAGGGAGTATATAATTAGTGACCAATTTATAACCTAGCTAAACATTTGTGAAAAAATTCAAATTATTTTTACCATAAAGGAGAACAATGGATATAAATCAACATAATATATGTTATATAGAGTAATTGTGATTTGATAGGAGTTGTTATATATAATACTTACTGCAGACTGGTTTACAACACTGGCGCAATCAACTTGACATGAAGTAGGGCAACTCGCACGGCAAACATGCTCTTGATTATAACATTGTCCATAGGTCTTATTCTTGCACCGTACTCTCTTTCTTGAGGCAACACCAGAATTAGGAGGACAGAGGAGATGGTGTTAAGGGGGTAGGAGGAGATGGTGTGGGGGGTTTAGGAGAGGGAGTTGCCAGGGTTGAGGAAGGTGTTGGGGATGATGGTGGAGTTTTAGATTGTGTTGAAGGGGTGGGAGGTAGGTGTTGAATAAGGTGATGATGGTGGAGTTGATGGTTTTAGAGGCGGTGTTAATGGGGTAGGAGGCGGAGAGGGGGTTGGGCTTGGTGGCGTTTTGAATTGGGTACAGTGGTGTTGAAGGGGTGGGAGGCGTTGTATATGGCGATGATGGTGGAGTTAGTGTTGGAGGTGGGGATGACGGTGGAGTGGGAGTAGGAGAAGATGTTGGTGATAGATGATGGTGGGGTGGGACTGTGGGAGTAGGAGGAGGTGTTGGCGAAAATGGTGTAGGAGGATAATATGGTGTTGGAGTTGGACTAGAAAGAGGTGGTGATCCGAAAGTGTCATTACTCGGACCACAAATAGGCTTGCAAGAAGCACATACATTCAATTGTGCAACTATAAGGGCAAAACTTAGGGCAAACATGCTCTAAGTAATAACACGTCTTGTACTTTTAATCCTTATACGATGCTTGTGCACGATTTTTGGCGAACCCGGGAGTAGTTGCTGCCTCCACCATAAATGACGCCAACAATATGACCAATAAACACCCAAGATAAAATATCGTGGGCAGAGCCATTTTGCAAGACTATCTCTTAATTAAACAATCAAGCAGAAATAGCTAGGTTAATGTTATGTAGTATACAAAGGTATAACTGAGTACTATACTATCTAGCAACATAGCACATAACTACTTATATAGATGTGTTCATGTGTAGGCAGTCCAATTTGCATACATCTTAATTAATATCGGTATCTTTTGTTAAAGTAAGGTGAAAGAGTTAAGTTAACTCCAACAAATGATTGGAAATATATATTTTCCATTCCTTTTAAGTCATCTTCCACATGCATCTACTCCTAAGTCCGTAAGACCTAACATGCATAGGTGTTAGAATCCGCCTCTTTCCCTTTTCCTTGTATTTTCCTTATGTATTGTCTTCTAAGTCTTTCTTTATGCTTTCTAGGCTCTAAGGAGAATTATTGTGTTACTGTAGTTTCAGTGTTCACCGGTAATTCTCTATATAATCAATATAAAGCTCTTTAGGGAGCGAATGATTGAATGAATCAAAGCTCCCTACTAGCCTTTATAGATATTGTGCTTGCCTTGTTTTAAAGCATCCCCTCCAAACCAAGAGATCCTCAAAAGACGCCTTCATTGTCGTCGGTCCCGCTTGTGCCCGCTTCGAAATATCGGTCGTCACAAGCCCCGACTCCGCACTCGTTGTTGACGAGTGCTTCCTTGAGATACCTTTGGTCCGTGTTGCCGTGTGCTCACGAACCCTTTCCGCTCTAGGCTTGCGTCCTTGTCGCCAAAAGACAAGAGCGCGTCGCACGATCCGGTGTCAGAACTCTCGGACTGTGACAATAGGCCTTGAAGTGCTTGTGTGATTCTAATAATAAGCAAAGTCTTTAAATATATATATATATTGTCTTCCTAAAATATGGTATTGTGCAATATGACAAATGGAGGATTGCCAACTTTTTCTTGATGTTTAGTTTATCATCCTAATAAACCCATGCATGATATATATACCGTTGTTATCTTTCGATTTTATAGATGGCATTCAACAATTTTGACGATATAGAACCATACATTACATGTTGATTTATTTTTGGTACGAGGCTCATTATTGTCGAATAAATCGAAAGGAGAAGTTAAGCATAAATGCATACTATTTTGGATTATGTATTTGATCGGATCGATCTATAATAATTTCAACTTTATCTTAAAAATACTACATAGAATAGTAATTAAATTGGACCTTACCCTAAAAAAGGAGCCACAATATTAGAAGAAAGGACAAAAAAGACCTTTGATTGTTAATCCTACCACATTGTTGGATATTATAATTGGATTTTAGAAATTGGAATCACTTAAAAATGAAGCAACATGTAAAATGTTTTTAGTGAATTGTGATAATAGGATTAAGATAATGATACTTTGTCTAGTAGAAAGAAATGCTTAGTCCCTAGTCATTCGAAATTTTCAAGCATTTTAAGCAACTTTACGGCTATTATACGTATAGAACTGGAGGAGATCGAATAAATTATCACCAAATTGAATAGTTAATTAGATTTTCCGACTAAATTGAAATGCACCTATAGTCATGCATAATTTTGTGAAAGTTCGGGACTGATAATGTTAATTGTCACATTGAATGTATGTGTTACTGCGTGTAATAGATGCAAAAAATATCCATAAACAACACAAATTACGTGGTTTCACAGACTGACAAGCTCAGAGGAAGTTTCATTGATCTTGAGAAATATATTAGTCTGGTCAAAATAAGTAGGCCGGCTAATGTGAAAAAATCCCTTCTTGAGTTGAAGTTGTTTGGACTTTGGAGTTCAAGTTGTTTGGACTTTGGAGTTGGAGAGTTAATACTAAGTATTTAAAGACTTAATTTATCTTATCTAAATTACGATACTCGATGACTTATCTGAATTTATTAATCTTATCTAAATATACGAGTAGTTGTAATTTGGAGTTGAATAAACCCTTATTAGTTTTTATCAAACTTATTTTTCTTAAATTTATCTTATCAAAACTTATTTGACCTTATCATAATTCATTTTTCGTTAAATGAAGGAAAATAAGGTAAACAATTGAACTTGAAGTTGAATGCAAAATTGTTTTTATGCAAAAATTAATTAAGATATTAGTAAGAATTGATAAGAATTGACTAGTAGTCCATTAGTCTATTCTTTTGACCGTTAATGAAGACTTTTTAGTATTTGAGATTAAATTTTGTCACAAGTGAGACTATATAATTTGTGTAGCTAAGACATGGTAAAACTAATTGGCTTGAAGACACTATTTCTTCAAGTTTTTTCATACTGGAATTTCGCAATGTTGATATGAGTCATAAGATATTAAAATAAGGTTGAGATTTATGGAGTATTAATTTTCAATAAGAAGCTACGAGTAATTGCCTAATTGGTAATCAATTTGGAAATTAGAGTGTACTCATATTACTCAAAGACTTAATTTACCCTACCTAACCTAAATTGTTTGGACCCATATTGAACATGATTTGAAACACTCAAATGTCACATGATCTCATACTCCAGCGCAAAACACCTTCCATTATAAGTATTATGTTTTTCGAAAATTGGATAGTATGGACACCTTCCATTATAAGTACCATGTATTTCGAAAATTGGATAGTATGGACTACAGAGTAAATAACAAAAGGTGTAAATTTTATGTCAATCAAACAAACACTTAGAATCATATTCGTACGCTTGCATTTTACTTACATATACGTAGCAAAACTTGGTGGAGTTGGTGGGAAACTTACCTTGTTACTTTGAGGTCACGACAATGTTATTAAAATCGCGATTTGGATCGTAGAATCGTGTACGATTTTACGATGTACGATTCTACAATCCCAATCCACCCAAACGTTTTAAATCGTCGGTAGAATCGCTTATAGAATCGATGGGATCGGTCTTATACACCAATTCTAACGATTCCACTCCCGTAAAAAGTCTAGTTTATCGAAACCCATAACTTTTGATTGCGAAGTCGGAACTAGGCTTATAATATATCATTGGAAAGCTCTTGAGGTCCACTTTCTAATACAATTTATCCCATACCCATATCATTTATACTTGTATAATTTATGTAATATTCTAAAGAGTGTAAGGGTATCATAGTTGAGCCTAACTTTAGTCAATAACTTATATATTATTCAATATAAATCATAATTAAGCTTATGAAACATCAATTAATTTTTAAAATTCCATCCAATCGTTTAAATTTTGTGGGTAAAAGAATATATTCTTGAGTCTTATGCACTCAACTTTGGGCAAATAAAAACACTTTTTTTATAACAAACTTATGAATAATGCAAAACGTCAAAATTCACTATCTGATTAGTTTTAATCAAACATTGACCACAGTTTAAAGGTAAAATTGTCAAATGAGATTGTTATTTAGAGACGAAGATGATACAATAGATGGAATTCATGGAAACAAGGCTCCATCACCCTGATCACTGTACTATACACGCAGAATACAAGAATACAAGGGAAAAAAGAATGGTAGAATTAGGATATCTATTAGAGATTGTTCTGTTCTGATCAATTTAAAATGTTATTTATTACTTCAAATTAAGCATCCACTATTTTGGAATAGATTAAAAACAAGATCAATCTAATCCAATCTGCATCCACAGAAGTTAGCCAGTAGATGGCTTTATGTAGAAACAATAAAAAATCTTGATTGTTCATCATAGCAGGTCTACCGTAACGTGGCACAACGTATATAATCTCTTCGATCTCTTACAACCATCAGTTACCAACCTTACCACATTCCATTTCCAGAAACCCATCCCTAATCCATAGTCCACAGCTCCACACATTGGAAATGCTCCGTCAAGTTTGAGATTCACCTGAACAAAATCATGTGCATATAAACAAGGTGAAGAGGGCATCAAAACAATAATAGGACCTCCAGCAAAATCAATGCAGCGGCGGAATCCACTTACAGTGGAAGCATCACTTTATTAGAATGCATCTTATAGGTGCCCCCTCAGCAATAGACAACTGTGGAGGAAAGCAATGCACATTATACATTCCTGCAGGGACATTATCCAGCTTTAGAGCTTCGACTAGAATAATTTCCTGCAGCATGACAAGATGAGTATGATCAGTGTTATTTCTACTGACTATTGACTTGAAAAGAGAAGGAAAGTGTACTCAAAAGTAAGAAGCACAGAGACAAGCAACTCATAAACAATACAAAATTAATTTTGATTGGAATCAATAGATGAGAGCTTAAGTGCACGTTGCAGCAGATAGAATGCTACAGTTGGGAAGATGATTGAACAATTGTTAAGACCAAACCATATAAGTGGGCAAGAATCTATCCTAGGCCAAAAATTTATTACCCCCAATAAAGTTTGAGTCATGCCAGCTTTACTGATTTCAATATTAAATTATCAAAAGTTTAGTTGAATTATCAGTAAGGCAATGGTTGTTTTGAAGAGCATGTGGTAGCGCTTTTGGGTATTTACATCTTCATACTTCCTTTGTTTATCCAAAATAACAAATCCCTTTTGTATTGTCTCATCTTTCCTTTCCTTTCGAATGTTTTAAAAGGCATGAAGTGAAGGCACCATACACTGCTTTCATCCTTAAATCCTTGTCAATAATACAATGTTGCAGCCTCAAAGTTATAATAAGAAGTTCTAATATATTTAAGTATTAAAGTATGTGTGACCAGCTAAAAATATTTGAAGTAGGCTCTTACCCTGCTTTTAAGGAAAACAAGATGGGAAGGATCCAAGTCATCAAACGCAGCAGCAGATAAATAGTCAACACCTACAATGCCAACATGGTTATTAGTTCCATCTGAAGTAGAGAATACAACTTAATTTTCAGCAATGTTCTTTTATTAGCATCACAATGCACCAAAATTCAAAAGGTCAAAAACACAACAATTATCACCATCTAATATATATCCAGCCATTGCTGAGGTCTCATTAGTCAATATTATATGAAACTAGCCAACTAGAACCAATTATCACGAACTTAAATGATTCGACTTTATATGTTTGATTCTGCTTGCCAAAACTATATAATCAAATAGCTATGTCAGCAAAATTATTTTCCAACTAAAAGCCATGACTTGACATATTATTTTAACAGGGATGATACTTTGACTGATAAAATGATTAGGAATTAGTATAAGGAAAACTTACCAACAAGCTTGATGTCTGTATTATCTTTCAACCATTGAGCACCATCCTCCATGAATCCCACATAGCTAGAATCAAACTCTTTTTGAAACATAAGGCGCCTAGAATGAGAAGAATTATAAATTTTATAATTTATAGTAACCTTGGGACAAAGCATCAGCAGAAGACACAAAATGAAGAAAGTGTCAAGGACATCACTAGAAGCTTCAGTAGTTTAGACTTTTAGAGAAAGAAGACAATAAAAGAATTTTATAACACTATGAATAAATGAGAAGAAATTTTCACCCAGCAACTATCATTTGACTGAGATTAAAATCTGTGATTCACACTTTCTACAAGACTAACAATCAATTAAATGTATCAGCAAGACTAAAAGCTATCAGCCTATCAACAAGTTCTATAGTTGTCCTTTTGATTTGGAGTACAATTATCTATGCTACCACCCAGATTTTTTATGAAGCATATTAGGTGACAATATTATTCATCTACTCAGAATCCTAATAAAAACTCTAAAGCACCACCAAACCAAAATCCCTTACCCATCTCAATTGGGTGACATCAAGCAAGAAGATAGGCCACAATAGGCAATAGGACAATTTTGACATGACTCCAACAAAAAATTTAAGTTAGAAAAAAATACAGTACATTACCCCTTATAAGATGCGTGAAGTGGATGATACAAAGCAATAAGTCACATCAGCAAATTTGCAACAATATGCACCAATAACCCAGCTGATTATTTAAACTTAATGAAGTTGCTCCCACTAAGGTTTCCATCAGTCCATAGGCATTGGTATTTTTCCAAGGGCAATAAATATGTCAACTCATTTCAGTTGTGATAGCCTACATATACAACCCTTATAACAAACTTACACAGAGAAGCAAATAAGATTCCACATCACATGCCTAAAGGCAACAGCCTGGCAAGGCGAGTTATGATGCTTGTAATTGCCATGTAATTACTTAGGGAAAGGTCATTGTGAAGAAATAATGTGTGAAGTGATTGCAATGAAAATTGATGATAGATTTGGGAGGTTAGTTGGATGCCAAAGTTGGCATCTCCATTAGAATGACATCCACAAGACAATTAGGAGCCCACGACAACCCAATTTACAGCTCTAATGTAGGATGAAACTTGATGTAATGTTAACTCTAGCAATTCTCAGATGCGCATGAAGTACTAAACAACAAAATCCAAAAGGCAATGAAGGTGCAGCCATCCCTATAATTATCACCCAATATTTCATTCTTGTGTTCATGTTCCTTTTACTATGGGAAGTGGCTATGAAAAAGAATACCTAATAAGTACAGCTGTACAGTAATAATCAAATAAGTGTAGTTTTTTTTTTTTTTTTTTTTTTTTTTTTTTTTAAAAAAAAAAAAACCTAATAGATGATCACATATGCCAGCCGAAAGAAACAGCAGGTATCAATTTTACCAGTCTGTGTTTAAAGTTCTGAAAAGAACGCGACGAACTCCTTTAGGAATGTGTAGAGATTTCATCACACTTGCTGTAAAAAGAATAATGTTTACAATGCCATCAGTCTATTATACATTTCAGCAACGAAATTAATGGATACCCCCACCCTCCCCCAAAACAATTCTCTTTTTTGCTGCTCTACCCTTGGTGGACACAAAGGTAATGGAGAAGAGACTAGCAAAAACGACAAAGCTAAGTAGGAAATTGGAAAAGAAGCCCTAGCTTGAGTAGCCTTCTAATGAGAATATGCAATAAATCGTTTCAAACTATACAGTAAGTCCACATATTCCTGCAATACCATTGTTCATCATCATAATTATCTCAAATTTTGATTACATTAGATAACAAACATACTACACACTGTTGTGATTGTCTTCGTTGTATCTCCTAGTAATTTCGTGATACTCGATGTGTATATTAGGGTCGAAATATTACTTACCTTTATGAAAGTGATTTTGTTCACTCCTCGAAGTGTTAAATTTGTCCATTTTCGTTCCATTTTTGTGACCCGGTAAACCAATTTCCCCAACAATCCAAAGTAATAATTTCCTACAAAGATGGCAATGGTGAAAGAATTGACATCAAACTTTCAAAAGTTTGACTAGTTTGAAGGAGTAGACTTTCAAAGATGGCAGAAAAAGATGCATTTTCTGTTAACCTCTCTTGGAGTGGCATATGTTCTTACATCTCCGAAGCCAACGGAGGAGGAAATTGAGACATTGGAGGCTACTAGGAAACACAACAAGTGGGAGAATGACGATTACATTTGTCGTAGACACATCTTGAATGGTATGTCAAATGAATTGTTTGATATTTATTTGTTTCATGATTCCACTAAAATGCTATGGGAAGACTTAGAATTGAAGTATATGGCCGAGGATGCATCTAGCAAAAAATTTCTTGTTAGTTAATTTAACAATTATAAGTTTGTTGATAGTAGGCAGGTCATGGAACAATTTCATGAGGTACAAAGGATTTTAGGGAGTCTTAGGAAACATGAAATTAACTTTATGAGACCTTTATAGTGTCATCTATAATAGACAAAGTGTCTTCCTCTTGGAAGGACTTTAAGAATGGTTTAAAGCATAGAAAAGATGATTTAAATCTTGAGGGATTAAGTTCCCACATTCGGATTGAAGAAGATATCCGTATTCAAGAAGGACAAAAGGAGGTAAATCCTAGTTATACCACCGTTAACATGGTGGAGGATGGAAAGTCCAATGAGAGGAAGAGGGGATATGGCTCAAACAAAAATAAGGGCAAGAAGCCTAAAGTAAGTGGTGATGGTACAAAATCACGTGCTTGTTGGGTTTGTGCAAAACTCGGTCATTTTAAGAAGGATTGTACAATCTGGAAGAAGAAATTGAGCAAGAAAAAGTCTCAAGGTGGGAAAGGCGATGCTAGCCAATCCCAAGACAAACAAGGTAACTCTTGTGTACAAATTTCATTTAATTCATTTATGCATTATGTATGTATGATTTCTGAAATCAATTATGTACAATTTTGATCTTTCCATCCCCATCTTCATCCCTATCCCCGCCTCATGTATATTTCTATCCTCATCCCCATCCCCATGACATGTCTGAAATTTATCCCCATCCATGCCCGACGAATCCAATTCTAAATAAAATAATCCCTGTCCACCCCTACACGTGGATATCCATACCTGCCTCAACCCCTTCTTTCCAGCCCCATCACCCGCCTAGTCTCTACCATAGGCCCACCACAAATAATACAGTTCTACTTAAAATCTATAATATAGCTCAACCAAAATACATTAATTGTACAATCTAATACTACCTCCATTTTTCTTTAATTGACACGTTTTGACTTTAGCACTATTCACTCACTCCCCTTTGACCGTGTTTTGTGCTTTATACGTAATGAAAATTATTATAGTCATGTGGGATCTTGTTAGATTCGTCACGATATATATTTTCAAAATATCAACTTTTTATAATTTTTGTTTATTGGTAATTAAAGATATTAATGGTTGAAGTTGTGAATTGGAAAACGTGACTAAAGAAACGTGTCAAGTAAAAAGAAACGGAGGAAGTATATCATATCATATCACTAATAAATAAAGCCGGTCTCGCAATCAAGCCACGAGACAGCGACACTTGGCATTCCAGTTTTTCGCCAAGTGTCGCGCCACGTAGGCGATAAATAGTCATTATTGTGATACGTATGATGCCAAGTAAGAGATTTTTGGATAGATTTTTTAAGATAAAATTGTTGTATAGAGTTTTATTATCGATAGAATTCTAATATTTCATATATACAAAATTAATCTTAACATTTTATAAGTATCCTATAACCCAATTCTATTTCCATCATCAAATTCGTTTTAAAAGTTCTTTAAAATAAGATCCATTTATAATATATTTAATCACAAACTTTTATATGGAGCCGGTCAAACCGTGTCACAAACTATTTTAAGAGTTACTTCATTAGTGATATAGGGGTTACTTGGTCAGTTTTATAGTGGTTATTCAATCAGTGTTATAGATATGGGTTACTTAGTTAGTGTTAGAGGTTACTCAGTTTGTATTACAGGGTTACTCGGTCAGTTTTATAAGGGTTACTTTGTCCGGCAAGATGTTGTGGCTAGCCGCATACAAAATGCATTGTTATTAAATTTACTTCCTCCGTTCTTTTTTTTATTGCACCATGAGGGTTTTCATGCTTGTCAATGCATTACTTTAACTATTAATATCTTCAATTATACTTTTGTAAAAATTATAAGAAAAAAAATTGATATTTGAAAAGTAGATTTCGAGACGAATCTAACTAGATCCCACCTGACTATATTTTTCCTAATGGATAAATCACAAATGATGGTCATAAAAGATTAAGTGAATAGTGTAAAAGTCTTATGGTGCAATAAAAGAAAAACGAAGGAAGTATTTAAAAAAATAATAGAGAATCGGTAAAAATAATTTTAGTTTGGTAAAAATACTTTGAGTTCATTGAAAATAATTTAAGATCAATATAAGTAATTTCAAGTCAATAATAACATAGATATCTATTATTTACAAACAAAACTACAAAAAGTGCACTATTATATAAATATATATAAGCCATATGATATCGTATGTCTAAATATCCTACATTATCATAACGGATTATATGACCGTATTTAACATTCAAGTAAAAATGTTATCTTAAAATTTTATCAACCATCTGGACATTGCCTGATCACAAAACTAGTTATATATATAAAGAGGAGTTTTTTCCCGAGTTTTTAGAGCACCACGTAAAATTTCAATTTTTAAAAAATTATTAGAGCGCCACTTAGGAAGAATAAAAAATTTAAACCGCTACAATAAAATATTGCCACGTAATATTAGTTTTTTTAAAGCGCTACGTAGGTTATAATAAAATAAAAACATCGTCACGTGGGATTAATAATTTTGAAACGCTACAATAGGATTATGCCACGTAAGATTAATTTTATAGCGTCACATAGGAAAATGTTATATTTTAGCCAATAAAAAAAAAAGAATAGCAATTTATTTTAGATCAAAAATTTTATATTAATTATAAAAATAAAATCAGTGCATTTCTTGTGTGGCTCGCCATATCGTGTGGCCAACTGAGACAACCCATGCACTGACCGAGTAACCCCTGACCATCCGAGTAACCCTGATCGATTGAGTAACCCTAACCAAGTAACTCATGACCAAGTAATCCCGACAACACGGTGTGACCAGCCACATATGAAACTTTGTGAAATAAAGTATTATCTTTTCATATTACGAATTTTATGTAAATATGAGAAACAAAGTTTATAATTTATTTTATAATAAAAAATTCAAGTAGTAAGCAAGCGAATATCACAAAGTTTTATTAAATAAATATATATTAGAAAATATTTTATTTGAAAAAAATTACAAACAAACCGTGCATCGCACCGCCTTCATCTAGTCTAGTCTAATTCTAATAAAATTAATTAAGTAATAAATTTATGTAAGGTAAACATTGTGTTAATAGATAAAACTATTTTTCTTCTTGTAAAAAAAACGATACAAATATTTTGAATAGATTAATCGATAGAGAACAAATAAAATTCAATCATTCTTTTTTTTTAATAAGTCATCGATTCCAGTTTGGGTTGTAATAGTCAAAATAAGTCAAGTGAAAGTTGAGGCTCATTTCCAATTACCTTATCATGTAAATATAAATCTAATATATCATATCATATTATATATCACTAATAAATAAAGCCGGTCTCGCAGCCATGCCACGAGACAGCGACACTTGACATTCTAATTTTTCGCCAAGTGTCGCGCCACATAGGCGACAAATAGGTATTATTGTGACACATATGATGCAAAGTAAGCAATTTTTGGATAGATTTCTTAAGATAAAAATGTTGTATAGAGTTTTATTATCACTATACTTCTAATATTTCATATATACAAAATAAATCATAACTTTTAATAAATATCCTATAATTCGGTTTAATTTTCATCATAGAATTCGTTTCAAAAAGTTTTTTAAAAATAAGATCCATTTATAATATATTTAATTTAGTAAAAAAAATAATAGAGAATCAACAAAAATAAGTTTTAACCAGTAAAAATAATTTTGGTTTGGTAAAAATACTTTCAGTTCAGTAAAAATATTTAAGTTCAATAACAATAATTTCAGGTCAGTAATAACATAGATATCTATTTACAAACAAAATTACAGAAAATACACTATTCTATAAATAAGTGATAGGATATCGTATGTCTAAATATCCTGCATTATCAAAAGGGATTACATGAAAGTATTAGTAAATATTCAAGCCAAAAAGTTTATCCTAAAATTTTATCAAAAATCTAGGCATCGCCCGGGCACAAAACTAGTAATATATAAAGGGGAGTTTTTTCCCGAGTTTTTAGAGAGCCACATAGGATTAAAATTTCTTAACGCGCCATGTAGGATTATAAATTTTAGTTATAGCCAATTAGATAAGAGATTTATAATTTCTTTTAGAAATAAATAATTCATATGTCACATAGCAAAATTGGCGAATGAGATTTTAAAGTTTAAGGATTATAAATTTTAGTTTTAGCCAATTAAATAAGAGACTTATAATTTCTTTTAGAATTAGATAATTCATACACACATAAGTAAAATTGGCGAATGAGATTTTAAAGTTTATATTTATTAAATAGATAAATATATCTTTTGAGATAGGAATTTTATCTAAATATATAACGAATGAGAGGAAATTCACAATTTAATTTGAAATAAAAACATTAAACAATGTACTACATACAACGAATAAAATAACAAATTTCGTCACATAAATACAAAAAATATTTGTTTTAAAAAATACAAACAATCCGTACATCGCACGGGTTTATCTAGTTACATTATATAATGGAGTACAACAAAAAGTACTAGTGATTAATATCACACTCCAAACTAATAAATATAACTTCAAAGTTCAAATATTAAAAATATGTACTCCGTATAAGACTACAACAAATATTAAAATACATGGGGCAGGTATGAGACGGGACGAGGTGGGACGCTTAAAATTCACCCCCGCCCTGTCACCGATCAAACCTAGACCTATCCCTGCCCTGTCAAGATGGGGATGAGGTGGTTATCCTACTTAACCCGCCTCACTATCATTCTTAATCAGGTGTATATTATATGTATCATAAGGTGGTATAAATTTTCCATGGATTGGACCCATTGAATAGACTATAACGTTTTTGTCATTTTTCTATTTGTCCATCCCGTGGTGTTGTTATCTAAACCATGGTGTCCCTCTAACCAACATTATACCTCTTTCACCAACTCCTAATGACTACACTCTTGAATGAGTCAAACCCACATAATAAAGTGGTGAAAGTATTCTTGGAATGCCCCAATATCCCTTACATCATGACCTAAAACCTGTTTCTTGCATGTTTCACTTGCTTGCGTTATTAGTCACCCTACCGTTAGAAAGCATGGAAGGTATGATATCGTACACCAATTTTATCATTATAAACAGGAGTATTTTTCCCAAAACCGCATTTCTTTATCTACCACACAACATGAGTAGTGTTACATTGGGTCCTTTCTCTCCAAACAATGACCCTAGAATTGTTAATAATGTTGATTTCCATCTCCAACAGGCAGAGGACTGCCTGGCCTCGGCTTCGTGTTCCGTGAAATCTTCGATGCCATTGATGAGATCATCATCTAGCCCTGGTCTCATGCAGATTCCTCCACCTCCATGGCGGGCGTTTCAGCCACCAGGAAGGGCTTCAACGGTAACGAGACTATGTAAGCCATGCGATGATCCTTTCCTCATTGCCATGAAGGAATGCACCAAAAGTAGTAAGAGAATTGGTTTCAGATCATTGTTTAATATTGGGAAGATTACATTTTCATGCAAGCATGGAAGTGAAGTTAGGGAAGATGGTTTAATGAGATTGTCTCAACTTCCATCTATTCCTAGGGAAAGATCAACCAGAAGATCGAAGAAATCTTAGTGCTTCTCATGTTGCAAAATTTAGGATTTATGTTGTTGATTGTGTAATCGGTAGTCTAAGCTTCTTGAAGTGCATCTTCATTCTATTGCCTTAGGATTGTAAAATTTCAAGTTATTGGTAATGAAATCGACAAACATGTACTACCCTCATATTTATATTGGGTAAAAAACTAAAGACTAGAGAACTAATACGCAACAACAAATACTCCCACCTCTCCAAAGAAAAATCTCATTCGCGTTTTACACATTAAAAAGATGATACTAATAATAAGATAGTGTGGCTGTGTGGGATTGATTCATTGATTGATTCATTGTGAGACTTGACTAATCAAAAGTTCATAAAACAAAAATTAGTAGGATTTGGTCAATTAGTAATGAATAAAGGAAAAAATATAAAAAATAAAACTTATTTAGGGACAAGATTCTAGGTGATACACAACAAGCAAAACTGCAGTATTATTAATTTGAACCTGCTGAATATTATCTGCAAGTGATTTCTCTAGTTTCATCAGCATTACTGATATAAATATAGGCACAATAATCAACATGACAGAAATCTCAGAGCCTTCAGCGCTTAGCTATCATTTAAACAATTACAAAAGAATATACATCAATTTCCAGTCTCCTATGGTCCTTCCACATCTTCAGTGCAAGCCAATAGAGTGCAGGAAGCTATAATCAGCTTTTTCTTGAACTGATAAAATTTCCTATATCCTCAAAATGCTCGACGTCTTTCAATCTTATGATTCTTTATCTTGAATCATATATTATTTAAAACCAAAGTATTTGCCAATTACAAGAAGATCTTGATGGTATGGATTATTCTGCAAGCAGATACCCAAAAAGGTTAGGCCTGTCAACAGGCTTCACAGTCAAAAACTGGTAAGCATGACTTCAGTCCAGATATTTTTTGATTGCATCAACCACCTCCTGGGTGGTGCTGTCACCTCCAAGATCTGGAGTTCGATATTGGCCCTCTGCTATCACTCTTTTCACAGCGGTTTCCAATCGATCAGCAAATGAGGGAAACTGGAGATGTCTCAACATCATTGCAGATGAGAGCAGAAGAGCTACCGGGTTGGCTTTCTTTTCTTTTAATATTTCATCACTGCCAACATTTCCTGCTGAAGCACCTTGCTCAAACACAGCATTATCTGCTCCCACATTACCTTCAGATGCAAAATATATCAATAATGAGACATTTATTTAACCTCATATCAAACCCAAATTACTAATTACTAAGATTTTCAGAATACACAATCTTGCTGTAAACCATTTTAAAAGTCAAATTACCAACCATATTATATTGTTATATGTTTATCTATGTAGTACATATGATATTGCACTGAAAAATTGAAATAAAATTGGCATGATATTAAGCATAACCACTGCTTTTGGTCAGGAACAAGCATTTATTCAATCCAGCCAAAGAATAACCCAAATCCTACCTAATATTGCATTTTAAATCAGTCTAAACTACTGGGGAGGAAAAAGGGAGCAAACAATGAGTCAAAATTTTTCTTACCCGTCAGGCTTATGACCTGATCTTCCCAACAAGCAGGAAAGAAAATACTCATAGCATGTGGTTTAGATAGATAATCCCAACAAGTTATGGAGTGAACACAAATAGCATTAATCTTTAATTTTTGCTCAGCCTGGTTAAATATGTCAGCTTTGAAAGCACAAAACTGAGCTAATTATCAGAAAACCAAGGAGCAGAATGTACCTCCAGGCATTACTCCAGTACCACCAGCTATACCAGCTGCTGTATTTGCCACAAGATTCCCATACAGATTCGGCGTCACCTAAAAGATCAAGATACATAAGCAAGTCGACATACAATCTACAATTGACTTTTACCAAAAATAGTTGCATACCATTTTCAAAAGCTAACATAATTCACAAAAATAAAATTATCAAAAACCATGTAAGAGAAAGTGGAGACATTGAGAATGATGCTTTATTTCTAAATAATTTCCACGGGATTGCCAAAGCTCTCAAAGGTACAACTATACGAATGCACCCTGATGAACAATAGTATGTATTTTACGAAGTATATTACAAGAAAAACACTAAAACAGATCAAGACACATTTTGATGATTCTTCTTGAACTTCATGTTCCCATACAATACTTGTATGTTATAGAACAAGAGCATTATTCATTGATTAATATGAATTAAGAATCCAGAAGTTTCACTATTAAGACTTGTCAAAGGTTTTACTGCCCAATGTCAAGCTATAGAAACTAAAAGCTTTTATTTGGTAATGCCATTTAGAAAAAGTTGGCCAACTGGATTCCCAATGGACAATAAGCGTTATTTCAATGTATTTGCGTCTCAAACCGCTTGTAACTTCAACTTCATATACCAAGACTAATGAAGTTTAAATCATTGCTAACAGCAAACATTGGCTAATATCTTTGCTTAATTATACTGCTTTGATGGCTAATAATATTACATTCCATTCAGCATTACCATACTGCGCAACTACTTGTTTTTACATTTCCATGAAATCACGCGTAAGTCAAGTGAGAAAACACTGCCAAAAGTGCTTTAGCCTTCACTCAACTACAACTGCCCAGCCTCTGGCAGGATGCTTGAAGTCCTGGAACAGTGCCAAAAGTTTGATATTCATCTTATGAATATCAGTACTCTTCTCACAGCACTCAAGTGAGAAAACACGGCCAAGACTGCTTAAGCCTTCACTTGTCATTAACTACAAGGTTACAAGTGCCCAGCCCTCAGCAGAATGCTGGAAGTCCTGCAACAGAGCCCAAAGTTTGAATTGCCTCTTATGGATATAACTACTCTCTTCAAAGAACTCAAGTAGACTTGATTCACTCCAGAACCTTGACAATAAACTTTCCAAAAGCCTAAATCAGGTCTGGTTACCTGTAAGGAACTAAAAACTTCAGCAATGCTCTTGGATTGATTTACATCGGCATTTTTTGCCACCAAGTTTGGATAACTTCTAATAGGGGTTATTTCAACTTTTCTAAGATGTGAAACAGATCACCCAAAAGAAAATTGTCAAGTTGATGTTGTGCCAAAATTGTTATGAGAGTCCAATGAATGTAGAGCCTTCAATCACCACTATTTTGTTGCAATCCAAACTAATTTCAGTGTGTGACCTTAACAAGAAATATATGATGAGAGACTTTCCTTCCATTTGGGTCACCAAAATTTATTGATTAACATGAGCTTAGAAAACTGGACTAAATAGGCAGCCATATCCTATGAAACTAGCTTGGAAGACCAAAAGAAATGGATCTAATTTTGACAGATGCTCGTAGATGCCAACAGTGAATCCCTTCTAGTGAAAAAGTAATTCACCTGATTTATTGATGATTTCAACCAGATAACTAGGTTTACTTTACAAAAGAAAGACAAAAAGTATATTTTCCTGAGATATTCTAATTCAAAAACATCAAAGCTGAAGTAAAAATCTGAAATGAGCGGAAAAGATATGATAAAATATGGTAAACTTTATCAAAATTACAATTCTGAAGAGGAAGGCATAAACACTGGCTCATAGACTCATATGAAGTCAACTCCTCAAAAAGATGCACCGTCTACGAGGAAAAAGCTGGAAAAAAAATATCACAGATATGTCATAGGCATGCTAGCAGAAAAGAACATTCAGAAGAACTTGCTAAGGAGACTTCTTAACAACGGTGGTTTGAAAAACAAACATGGCCCCAGCCAAAGACCTCAGAATGTAGAATCTGTAGATGGCAACTTTTGTATACCACCAGATCAAGCTAGATGAGAAAGCTAAATAATGAAATTTAACTGGAAGTGAAGTCAAAAGCAATCAGGTCTTTTATCCAATTCAAAGAAATTTTCCATTATCCAACATCCTCAAAGATCTATTATGGAGCATTTCCGTTAGGAATTCCATGAGGTCCTTAAGGCACTCACATCTCCACTCTATATCGAATCTAATGTCCATCACTCCTTCAGTGAGCCTCCTTATACAGCAGTATCACCTTCTTCCACATAGAAGCCACAAATTCAGCCATTTATTTCAGTTTGGCTACCATATCAAAATCCAACATGAATATAAAACAACAATCAAGTCTTAATCCAATGATAGGGTTAAAATTTTATCTCTTTCACTCACCAACCATGAATTCATGATCCTCTCCTTCCATTCCCTTCTGCTTAATGTTATGTGCTCCTGCAAATCTAACTTTCTCATGTCCTTCTCAACTCCTTCCGTCCAAGTCATCATTAGTCACCTTGATCTCAAACCTCTACTTTTCTTACTGGTGACTAATCTCCGCCTCACATGACCAATCCAACGCAATCAATTCTCCCTTATTGTATCCTCAATGCACGCTACTCCAACTTTCCTCCTAATATTTTCATTTTCGATTCTATCCTTTACGGTGTTCCTCTATGTTACATGGACTCGGGAACCGGTGTCAGACACGGACACATGTCCAAGTGTCCGATCTGGCAAGTTCCAAAATTTTAGCACAAGGGAACTCTGTCTGATATTTGGACACGGGTACGGTGACACGTCAATGCGTCACTTAAATTTATATAAATAAATTATATATTACAAAAGCTTTAAAATTTTCATTATGTCTACCCCTATTTTTTTAATTATAATTCTTTCCTCGATAAATTCTCCTAATATATGGCAATCATCTTCTCTCTATCTTCTCTATATTAATGGTGGTTTTCGAACAAGATATGTTTTTCTTTCATGTTTCTTCTCTTTTTTCCTCTCCTCTCTTAATGGAAGTGTCCGAGTGCACGGTGAAGGATCGGACACGTCACACGTGTCCCGTGTCCGTGTCCGTGAAGTGTCATGTCGACAAGGGCACTTCGTCATATTAGCCATGTCCGATTAACATAGGTGCTCCTACAGATCTTAATTAACATGCGCATTTCTGCTACCTCATCTTCCTAATATGATTATTCTTGAACGCCCGATTTAACTCATATAACAACGCTGTGATAATAGTTGTCTGATAAAATTTAACCTTTAACTTTGTAGAACATCTATACCAGAATTTGGATTTGTTGTCCCGCGAAACCCAGTTACATAGCGCTGCCACAAAAATCACATATTTCACCCTGCGTTGTCGTTATGTAACGGTGAATCACTGCATTAGAACCATTTTTTTACATGTTACATACGTTCTTTTGTTTTAGTTGACTAAATCTTTTAGTAGTTAATTATGTACTCTATTAAACATGATATTTAGTAAATTTTTATTCAAAAAATATATTATCAGCTTTTTTTTGATAAATTGGCTATATATTTTCAAAAAATACTTCTTAAACTTAAAAACTATTAACTATACACCATTATTGTGGATTTTTGAAAAAAGTCACACCTGGTTTGTTACGATCCGTTCTATTCATCTGTTACAAGTCGTTTCAACGTCAACGAGAGCATTACCACGATCGGACTGCATCCGCACCCACATTTGCAATTTTTTTTCTATGATCCAGACATAATCCTATAGGTTACATTCTGGTACATTTCTCCATTCTTTTGCAAAATCTACCATTTAAAACACTCGCTCATATGCACCTTCTAACCATCCAATGTTACTATATCCCTAGTCCTCCACTTACCCTCATAGTAGTAAAACTAGAGTCTCGCTTTGACTTAGTCTAAAACCACTCCATTCTTTTGCAAAATCTACCATTTAAAACACTCGCTCATATGCACCTTCTAACCCTCCAATGTTACTATATCCCTAGTACTCCACTTACCCTCATAGTACTAAAACCAGTGTTTGAAAAAGCGCGCCTAAGGCACGCCTAGGCGCGGAGGCGCAAGACGAACAAGGGTGAGCGCTTACTTTGGTCTGGCGAGGCGTTTTGGGTTAGGCGCACAAAAAGCGCTGGAGGCGCACCAAAAGCGCACAAGTACATGAGGCGCACTTGAAGCAAACTTCAGCCAAATTTTTTTAACTACCCATATACTACGCCTCACTTCAAAGAGGCGCGCCTTAGGCGCAGTAGAAAACCTCTCGCTTTAGTGCCCCTTGAGCTTTTTTATACATCGACTAAAACTAGTCTTGTTTTGACTTAGTCTAAAACCACAAGATTTTGGCCTCAATTTCTTTAATTTGGCATCAACCCCAACTCTAGTCTCATCCACTAATACAATAGCATTTGCAAAAGCATACACTAAAGAGTCTCACCTTGGATAGATCTTGTTAATTCATCCAATACAGCTGCAAAGAGGAAAAACTCAATGTCAATCCTTACTGAAGTCCAATCATAATATAGAATTCCTTCGTTACTAACCTGCAAGTCCTTACACTTATTTTGATGTCTGGATAAATATCCTTAACTAGGTCAATAAACTCATGCAAAACACCCGTCTTAGTCATTGCCCACCAAAACACATCCCTTGGCACCTTGTCCTAAGTCATATTTAGGTCAATGAAAATCATGTGTAATTCTTTTTCCTCGGCGTATAATACTCCATCATTTGCCTTATCAATTATATAGCTTTCATGGTAGACCACCCTGTCATGAACCCAAATTAGTTCTCTGAGATCCTCATACATTTCCTCAATCTAAAGTCTAACACTCTGTCCCATAGTTTCGTGGTGAAGCTCATGAGCTTTATACATTATGCCTCGATAATCAACATCAGACAATAAAATGCATGTGGTTAAACATCCACAATTTCAGATCATCAATGTTCATAAACGTTCTAATACATCCAGACTACTCAGCTGCTCAAATGGATGGTTTATATTGAAAAACAAAAAGGATCACAATCTTGATAAATTTACATTAGAGGACCTGTAGGTAATATACATACTATCTCCATCCAAAACAATAAGCCACATGACTTTGGTACTTAGATCACTAGTCTATTTGAAATTAATGCAGCAAATATCAATTAATGAAATACTATGAACTCCATCCCACTGGAGAGAAAAAAAAAAAAAGGGTCCTCTACTCCTCTAAAGAATATACAGATTCAAATTATATTAGAAAACCAATCAATTGAAACTAGATCCACCATAAGAATCAAGAAGGCATTGGTAATGTTGTGAGAAATAGCTTCTATTGTTAGCTTTTCAGGTAGTAGCTGTCTATTAGTATTGCTTGATCTAGAAGTTGTGTTTTCAAATAATCTAATTTAGGGTATGTGCTATGTGGCAGGTCAGGTCCACAAGTGGTAACTGGTAAGTACCTTATTTGGCAAGTTCAGCTTGGCTGGTTGAGCTAGGATAAACAATTAACCTCTCTATTTATGTGTTTGTGTGTAAAATTGGAACATGTAATCCATTGGCAGGACAAGTACAAGTTGACAAATGCTTGACTATAGGTAAAGGTTATTGACTCACCAAAAACAAAAGATAACTGTAATTAACACGTCAAAGACAATAAGGCCCGAAAACACAGCAAAAGTAATTTTTCTTCCAACTATAATGTAATGAATGCAAGCAAATCATTAAGTTAGAGCAAAGATGCAACCAATGCATCCACATACCATCACATCAAATTGTTCAGGCTTAGATACGAGTTGCATGCAGCAATTGTCCACAATTATCTCATTATACTTGATTCCAGGGTATTTGCTTGCAACTTTTCGACAGGATTCTAAGAAAAGACCATCTGCAAGCTTCATAATGTTAGCTTTGTGCACAGCTGTCACCGTCTTTCTATTATTGAGATATGCATATTCGAATGCATATTTTGCAATGCGCTCCGAACAAAACTTTGTTATCACCTAGCAAAGACGTGAAGTTAGTCCAAGAAGTACGCCAGACCGTACAAACAGTAGAGACAAATATAGAGAAAATCAGGTGATTCAACTACTACAGCTACAGGTGCCCAACAATCTGCCAAAATAGAGATAAACCTTAAAGCATACTTTTATCAATAGATGACATTTCAAAATGTGGCAGACTGGCAGCAGCATAGCACAAAAAGTTCTCTAAAAGACAAATTTCACCACTTTGATCGCACATATAAAAAACTTCCAATGTCCACTTTGGTTAAGACCTAATCTTTACATCAATTACATTAGATGAATTGAACAGAAAACCAACCTAAAACTGATAAAAAATTTGTAGTTCATGATCGTTTGACACTCGATGACTCAATATTCAATTTAGATAAACAAATTGACAATAGATCATGAACTAAAAAATTACCATATTCCATCCCTTTATAGGTTGGGTCAACCCAAGTAATTGACAAGTTGGGTAAATCATTACTAATTGACTGAAGGGTAAATCAGTACTAATTGACAAGTTGGGTCAACCCAAGTGATCCAAAACCGAAAGATCAACGTCACAGCCACACATTCTCCAACCCGAAACTGAAGGATCTGCCACCGACCCATACCCAAACTTCACAACCTCGTGAACATGTTAGTTAGATCAAATCTACACCCACCTAAGTGTTCTTGAAGAGCTCATGGAGTTCTAGGCAATGAGTGTTTTGTATCAAATGTTTAATTTGGATTAACCCACAATTAGAAAAGCATTGGTAACAGATTCAAGGTTCTTGAACAACGGCAACAACCATTTCTGAGAAAATACGTTTTTCAATATACTTCTCAATATTGAATATCTTATGAGGAGGAGGGAGAGGGAAACCGAAACTGACTTGGTTGGAAGGAGTTAGGAAGGATATGAAGTATATGCATTTGCATGAGGAGGAGGCATTGGATCGTAAGGGATGGAGGAGGAGGATCTTTGTCGATGATTACACGGAATAATCAAATTTGGTTCATGTAACCGACCCTACTTATGAGTTTAAGGCTTTGATTGATTGATTGAATATCTTATGAATCCTGAACAATCGATTTGATATAAAATTTCCGGGATTGTCCTACGTAGGCATGGAATCAAAATATTCAAACCAAATTCCACCTATACAACCGCTACCTAAATGGGCATCATCCACAATCTCATTCGATCACAAACTTGAGCTAACAGCCTTGCATTTTTTATATCTTAACTATTTTTGTTCTCAATTTAGTAAGGTGCAAACCTTGTCAACTCATCAAGACATCACTAAGATAATGATTAACTACAAAAATCATGGCACAAAAGTAACAGATTGATCATTCATAAAGAAAATTAATGCTACATTCCTAACACATCTGAACTGCATGAACAATGTACAAATTTCAATAACAACCCATAATCAAAACAATATTGTCATATAGATATTTTTCCACCCCACTCTCCAAATTCAAACTCATATCAATCCTCATCAACTATCAACACAAAACATCAACAAAACTTCAAAGTCAACATCATCAAAATTCTCAAAATTCACATTTAAACCAATACAAAAACCAAATCAAAACAAATAAAACCCAAAACCAACAACTAAAAACAACCCATCAATCAAATATAACAAACCAAACACCAAAAACATAGAATTACCTTAAGACTCTCGACGACGCCAGGCACAACCTCATGCTCAAGCCCAGAATACTCCCCTTCAGTATTCTCCCTAATAACAACAATATCCACATTCTGATGTCTAGTCGGTAATCCTTTAAGATTAAAGCAATTAACCAAAGAAGCATACAAATCAAGCTCCTTCCTCAATTGCATATTCAACGAACTCACACCACCACCAACTGGGGTCGCCAAACCACCCTTCAAACAAATCTTATTCTTCCGAATCGAATCCAGAACTTCTTCTGGAATCTTCTTCATGTTACCTCGTACCTCGTGCTTCTCGAAGTACACCGGCGCGTGCATAGCCTCCATTACTTGCTCAACGGCGCCTGTCACCAGAGGTCCGATGCCGTCACCGGGAATTAAGGTCACCTTACGTGGAGCACCGTCGCCGGGTCTGGGCATGTAGGTGACGGATCTTGAGTGTGACAGCCAAGGTTTCGTGAGGTTAGGGTTAGGGTTAGGGTTTAGGCCGGAAGAGGTGTCGATGAGGCGTTTCAGGAGAGTTGGGGCTGATCGCCGAGCCATCGGAGAGAGAATTGCGGCGACGATTGCGGTGTTGACTGTGATGGAATTGGGGAAGAAGCTTGGAAGACTGCAAATGATCAACCAAGGGATGAGAATTTTATTTTTTCGAGAAATTTTTCTTTATTCTTTTTTTTTTTTTGATTATAAAAATAAAATGGATTAATAAAAAAATGTAATGTGATTGTTGTTCGATTTTGTGAGAGGTCGCGTTTGCCTTTTTTTGGGCAACACAAAGAAGCCATATAAAGCTCATGACTTATGGGTGTGTTGAAAGGAGCAAATCAAACTTAAAATTTGGACTATATATTGGATTGATTGGTATCACGATTATTAGGGTTTACTATTTGAGGGTCATGCACTATAAATCGAGAAAAAAGTGTAAGTGATTTTTTGTATGCAGTGGCCTGGCTATAACTATGATAATATGGATTAATAAAATTGGGAAATACTTTGTATAAAGTGGCTACGAATCAAACCAATTAAAGAAGGAGACAACCACATTCTTAGTGAAAGCTTGAAAGATAGGAGGATATGGAAGTTGGAGATTTAGAAAATAATTGGACGATCTTCCATTGAGAATATCAGGAATAGAGCCCCTCCTTGGGATATTAGTTTCAAAAAAGAAACATCCAAATCACTTCAAATGGATGACTACTTTGTAAAGAGCTAAGCATTGTGAAATTAACAAGCTAAGCATCTAAAACATGGCTAAAATGCTGGCTAGATATATAACCCTTACACTAGGAAAAGAAAAAAAAGAACTATAGGACGGAAGAAGTCTACAACGGATTCCATTAAAAGGAGCCTTGGAGAAAATCCACTAGCTTTAAAATGGCATGCATTAGAGGGTTTTGAAATTAGTTTGATCTTTCTTCAATTGTATTGATTAATTAGTCTACTTGACCTTTCAGTGAATGTTAGAAAGGTATTGATTAATTAGTGTTGATCTTAATTGCATCACTTGCATTCATTCATTAAAGACATTGATAGGGAAACCTTTAGTGATAGGAGTACGCATATTTACTGAGTGTCTTTACTCATGGTCACTACAAGAACATGATTTTCATCCTATCCACTTTGTTTGTCTTATGACACAAAGCATAGCAATTGTAGGCACCAAAATTGTGTTTCTCCAATGCAAGGAACATATATATGACAAATCAATTAGCTTGGTCTTAATTGGTTCAGGATTGGTTATGGTGGTGCATTGCTACGACGAGCTAGTTCTAAACCATTTCAAAAGCCGCCTAAAAATAATTTCAAAATTCAAACAAAGCTTTTTCAAAACTCCTAAACATTTTTCAAAGCTCAAGACATGTTTCCCAATATCAGAACTGTAATTTAAGACTTACAAAAACTTTTAAAACCTCAAATTGCTTTTTAAAGCTAACTTGTAAACCTTTCAAAAACTCAAAACATCTTTTTCAATACGAAGCCCATTGACTTGCTTCTATTCCATGTATACAATTGTTTATAAGCCTTAAGCCGTTAAGGGCTAAGGAAATAAAATTGTGTGGTCCTTTAACAAAATTCTTGGTATGGAGATGAAAGCAAACCAAGAGCCATAGTGCAAACTCCTTATGTCAAGTGCAAGGCTTTGTGCCACCCACTAGAACTAAAAATAATGTTCACCACTACAGCTTACGCTCTTGTTGTTTTGCTTAACATTTCTAGTGATTGACACATGGCACATGGCTTGTGTGCCATACATTAAAACTAGTGTTTAGGGTAAAAATCCCCTAGACACGTGGACAAATCAAGTCATGACACGTGTCACCCTAGGAGGCGCTCAAGATGAGCCAACCAAGATAAGACACGTGGCACTCCCATCATTAGGGAAATGACGGCCTTCATGGGCTCAAATCCTGATGCGCCGTAAAAATGGCACAGCCTAATTACCTAGGTTAAATGACCTAAGGTAAGGGCACGCACTCCCATAACCCTATAAATAAGGACATTTATTACCATTAGGAGACACAATTTTATTACAATCAATCACATCATTTTCAAACACTATTCATCTGTTCTCACAACAGTAAAATCTCCTAGAACTCGGGATCCAAGAAAAGCAACTTTTACTTTCCGCATTTACTCAACTCCGTCCGTTACTAACTTGATTGTTGGAGGTGGAACTCCGAACAACCAGAGCTTTCGTTTGTTTCAGGTACAGGTGCACGTCGATCTAGTCTTGGAGTTATAACTCTCCTGAAGTACACATCAGGAAACCCCGAAACATTTGGCCCCGTTTGTGGGGAAAGTACCTCTATGATGGCATCTGATGAACCTGTACCACATCCGGAAATCTAAGGAAATCCAGATGGAGTAGAGATCCATTCGGTCCATGACACTGAGTCGAAACCAGAGGTCAAAGTACATACGGCCGAAGATGGCTCTCTCATCATTAAACACATTCGCTCCAAAGACATAAAGGAGAGGAATGCAAACAAGGCTAGTGCGAGAAAGCCAGCCGTCAAGTCTCAGATTGAAGAGCCGACTGCTCACGTCACCCGTTTAAAATTCTTGAAGTTCATGACTAACTTTAAGGGAGAGATGAAAAAATTAATCAAAACTCACACGGTTGGCCCTAGCAAGAGTCAGTCGGCAAAGAAGTATCCTCACTCTGAGAGGCAAAGACGGTCAAGGATAGGGAAGCCACTCCTCACCCCAAGCGGCATGAGGGGGCCAAACCATTCATTAACTAGACAAAGATACGTCTCCCTAAGACGTCAAAAAGAAAGCACATCCGGTATCAAGAACCGGATGGCATCAAGAAGACTTACATTGATGCTAGACAGTTCATCGAGCACAAGAAGAACCATCAATTGTTTGACACAACATCAATGTCGACAATGCCAGACAACTTTTTTAGGAATACCTTTTTGAGGAATTCCCAATCTAGACAGGAATACCTTTCAGGCGGCCCGTCCGTTCGAACAGGTACTCATGTTATAGGATTGGGGCCGTATGTGCCACAACATCATACGGCCCGTTCAATCAAGTTTTTCAGCAACCTGGCACCTATGGGTATTAAGCGACATATCAAATCCAACCCTTGGACCGACAGCTCCATTTCCTCAAACTTGGAGAACAACCCTCTGCGTTCTACAAGGAAATAACCAAGGCGGCACAACCGGCTAAGGTTAAGAACATTTTGGTTGTTGCTTATAACGACACCACCAATCCTGAAGACCACCTAATGGCATATACTAAACCACATGTATTTACAGGGGTTGGATGATGCTGCATGGTGTAGATGCTTCCTGGATACCCTGAAAGGCATAGCCTAATAGTGGTTCGACAACTTGCCGCCTGGGTGCATCAACAACTTCGGGACGCTTGCGTTCCTGTTTGCCTCTAACTTCTCTATAAACATATCGTCCAAAAAGACAAGCATATACTTGAGGGCGGTTGTTCAAGGAGACCGTGAAGGGCTCCGCTCATACGTTGGGTGGTTCAATCTGGAGACAATGCAAATTCAAGGGCTGCTTGACAAAGTTGCTTACACATACTTCTTTAAGGGTTTAAAGGTTCGATCTTATTCGGAAGAGAGTCTTCACTCTTCCTGAAGCCTTGAGGGAGGCAGAAGCCTACATACAAGCGTCTGAACTTTGTACCTCAAGCAAGCAGACGGATAAAAAGAGATCCAAAAAACAAAAAAAGGAGTCGGCAAGAGGAGCCGGCTCAAAAGAATGAAGAGAGCAAAAAGAGAAAAGATGTTTGGGCGGCTGATGACTCTAATCAGTCGTCCAAGAAAAAGAAGAAAGAAGTTAAGCCGTACATTCCCAAGTACGATTTTAACAAAGATTGCTACTCCATTCTTATGGAGATAAGGAACCGGGTGAGCTTTAAGAAGCCCCCTGCAATGAAAGGTTCGTCTATATACCGTTACAAAAACAAATACTACCATTTTCATGAGGAAGTAGACCATGACACCAACGATAGCTACGGCCTCAAGCGGCTGTTGGATAAATTATCTGAAAAAGGATTGCTGAAGTCTTATGTCTTGAAGTCAAAGGTGACTCTAAAGACGGACCCAAAGCATCTGGCAAAAAATGCTGACAATGGCTCAGACACGGATTCTAGGTTCATTGGGGTAATAGCAGGCGTCTATGCTTCAGGCAGTTCGACAATTAGAGGCACCAATGATCATGTTAGAAAATGATAAATTCAATTGATGGCGGTCAAACGTCTACTGAGGCATTCCCAGAGGTTGTCATTACTAAGAAGGACTAGGGCAAGGTCCGCCAGCTGCATGACGACCCCATGGTGGTCGAATGCAAAGCTCATCTGATATAATCATTTGGGCTTGTTTTTCAAAGCTCAAATACAACCGCAATAGCATGCATGAGGTCTCACACCCCTTAGTTGGTTTTGAGGGTGGAGTCATTCACCAAGTTGGCTGAATTGACTTACCTGGCCTATTCGGCAGGGAAAAAAGGGAGAAGGGCGAAATATGGTCGTCCGGTTCTTGGTCGTTGAATAGTTGACGACCTATAATCTTATTATAGGTTGTCCGACCCTAATGCGTCTAAGGTTGTCATAATCCCCTCCCTCATGCTGATGAAATTTGAAAGAGATGATGGCAACGTTGGTTTTCTTTGTAGAGATCAGAAGGTAGCAAGAGAATGCTACCTCTCAGACGTGAAGCATACTGCATTCGGTCAGGAGATTGAGTCGATCGATTTAGATGAAGAAAAAGAATCTGAGTCTATCCCTGGCAGGCAACAAGAAAAGAAAGGCCGACCAGCTGATGCCCGTCAAGAAAGAAAAGCAATAGGAATTACTGACCGGGGAGCGGTCAGATGAACTCCGTCCCAAGCCGGCTGAAGAGCACATTGACATCGTTCTGGATGAGACATGTCCGAAACGAATTTTTAAGGTGGGACGATTGCTTTTGCTAAATTGGGGGCAAACTTACAAAATTTGTTGAGAGAATTTAAGTATGTTTTTGCTTTTGAAGTGAAAAAGATGCCCGACATTAGTCCGAATCTTGCTGTCCACAAACTCCCCGTTGACCCGAAGAAAAAGCCTGTTAGGAAAAAGAAAAGGAATCACGGCGAGGAAAGAAGTCAGGCGGGAGTCGCCTAAGTCAAGAAGTTGCTGGACGCCGGGTTCATTCGGTAATGCTTTTATCCCGATTGGGTTGTCAACGTTGTGTTGGTTAAAAGCCGAATGGTACTTGGCGCATGTGTGTAGACTACATAGATATGACAAGGCATGTCCAAAGAACAATTATCCGCTTCCAAACTCTACAGCCTGACATGCCATGATGAG